AGCACAAATAATATCAGAATGCAGCACAGATAATCTCAGACTGCAGCTCAGATAATCTCAGACTGCAGCACAGATAATATCAGACTGCAGCACAAATAATATCAGAATGCAGCACAAATAATATCAGAATGCAGCACAGATAAACTCAGTCTGCGGCACAGATAATCTCAGACTGCAGCACAGATAATCTCAGACTGCAGCACAGATAATATCAGACTGCAGCACAAATAATCTCAGACTGCAGCTCAGATAATCTCAGACTGCAGCTCAGATAATCTCAGACTGCAGCACAGATAATCTCAGACTATAGCACAGATAAACTCACGTCAGCAGCACAGATATTCTCAGACTGCAGCACAGATAATCTCAGTCTGCAGCACAGATAATCTCAGACTGCAGCACAGATAATATCAGACTGCAGCACAAATAATATCAGACTGCAGCACAAATAATCTCAGAATGCAGCACAGATAATCTCAGACTGCAGCACAGATAAACTCAGTCTGCAGCACAGATAATCTCAAACTGCAGCAGAGATAATCTCAGACTGCAGCACAGATAATCTCAGACTGCAGCACATGTAATCTCAGACTGCAGCACAGATAATCTCAGACTGTAGCACAGATAATCTCAGACTGCAGCACAGATAATCTCAGACTGCAGCACAGATAATCTCAGACTGTAGCACAGATAATCTCAGACTGCAGCACAGATAATCTCAGCCTCGACATCCAGATTAAAGCAGGAGAATCTCCCACAGCTGGAACAGACAGAACAGACAGAGAAAGAGAGGAACAGACGAAGAGCAGAGGGAAGTGAGGAGAAAGTGTCTGACCCGACTTGGAGGAAACCTGCGCCCCCCCAGCCGTCATGAACTCCATGTTCCCCGCATGAAGAATCCCAGCCAGGAGGCGCAGAACCTCGCTGATGTTCTCCTCGGAGAACTGCATCGTCCGCATGGCGTTCTGAAAAAGCCCAGAAGAAATGCTCAGATTAAAAACCTGCTTCCTGGTCACACGGAGGGAATCTGGACCTCACGGGTCAGAACTAGAAGCTGCCGCCAGCCACAGTCCATCCTGAGAAGATGAGTCTTCAGTGAATTATTTGAGGCTTCCAACGGTTCTTAAGTGTTGGGCCGGTCAGCACAAATGACACTTTTCTGTCTCAACAGATTTAGTTAATTATATTATATTATTTCACTCAACTCATGTCATGTTGTAAATGTAAAAAACTACCTTTAAATAAAATGAATAAAGTTTTTTCACATGATAGGGACGTGATAATCCTGGAAAGATAATTTAACAGAAGTTAAAATGAAATATCTTCTTTCACATGAGAGCAACTAAAACTGTAACGGCCCTGGGATAAACAATATATGTTCATAAAACAAAGAAGTACATTTAGCTCTACTTGTAACAGCTTTAAACGAGTTAATGCAACATTTAATTTTTCTTTATTTAACCAGGACCAAAATCTCACAAAGATTAAAAACCTTTTGTTTCAAGAGAGACAACAGAATAAGACAAGTTACGACATTGAGACACTAAATCAATGTTTTTATCAATAAAAGAAAAACATTTACAACCAGAGGTTTCTGTCAGTAACAAGGCTGTTTCAGCACGTTGGAACGTTTTATTTCATTTATACGTTCGTTGCATACATGGATGCTCGGGGTGAGTTCCGTGCGACATATTTACCAGAACATCCTGAAAAGTGCCTTTATCGTTGATTGTCTTGTCTGCGGGACAGTTGGACTGTCTCAGGTAGTGATAGTTTTCAGGGTGGGTCAACCCAAACGCCTCTGAGGAAACAGAATTAATGCAATTAAACTTAATTAATAAATTAATTAAGCATCATCACAACAGCTTTTCTCACAGCGCTCATGTTCCCCATCGTGCAGCCTGACGCAATAAATGCTTAATGTACGGAAACTAGCATCGCTTGAAGGAATACATGTTCCGTGAAAGCCAAAGTTTCATAAGATGTTGCATTTTTTATTTAGTGTTTGTTTGTATAAAAATGAATAATTAATGACTTCATAGCTTCAACATATTGTTTACATAATTTCAATGGTTGCATTTTCCTTTAATATTTTCATATATTTATCTATTTTTTGTATTTTACTTGATGTAAAGCACTTTTGGTTTGAAAAGGTATAAATAAATAAAACCTTAATAACGTTATAAATATGTTTTTTCAGCTCACCCCTCTGCTGGCTGTTGGCTCCTGCTAATATTGCATAAAATATGTGGTAGTTTCTCTCCCCTGGGTTCTGCCGCACAACCCGGTTCTGCAAAAGAGACGGGTCAGTAACATTCACATCGTCACATTTCTCCAGAAAAATCTCAACCCCTTCACATCAACCTTTCAGGACCTTCAATTTGACCAGATCATTTGCAAATTAAACGATGCGTCTCAGTCATTTTGCTGTAATATGACTTTTATTTTGCATAAATCTGTAATCCACTGCAGGTCAAATTGTTTTTATGACATTCAACAAACTTTGACTCTAATACAGCTTTCATTAAATGACCCATACTTACTTTTTCTAGAAGGTCTGTGATCGGAGAAGAATCAGTCAAGGTCCAAAACGCTCAGGAACCCGTGCACATTAAAACAGCTTGTTCAAACAACTCACTAAATGATCCTCGAGTCATCAAACGGGCTTTAACTAAACCAACGAGGAGAAAACTTTACATCCAAAATGGATTTAAAAGTATTCATCGTACAATTTAACTGTTACTAAGTAGCAAACTATGATTTTTTTTAAGTTCCTGTCATTACTGAAGGATTCTAGGCTGCAGACGCTTCCTTCATGGCCTTCAATGTCATTAACCAAATAAGCAGAGCCAGGAAGTGCACGATGTTTAAAATCAAGGCGGGTTTAAAAAGATACAGTCGACGATCCTGCCCCCCTGGATGTTCCCCCTCTGGCTGAAGTGCAGCTGGACAAACTTCCCAAAGCGGCTGGAGTTGTTGTTGTAGACCGTCTTGGCGTTTCCAAAGGCCTCCATGATGGGGCTGCGGAGGGAACGAGGAGCGCCGCCGTCAGCCGGTGTCGAGCCGGCACGGTTCAGACTGAACGAGGTGAATAATTACCTGCTCTCCAGCAGCGCCTCCTCCACATGGGAGGTCTTGTCTCTGCAGGAGACCTCCAGAGAGTGCTGGCTCATGGCGGACAGGAACCTCAGGATCAGCTTGGTGCTCTCGGTTTTACCGGCGCCGCTCTCCCCGCTGAGGAGAGGAAGAGCACATCTGTAAGACTAACATCATCGGTTAGAGAAATGACCTCGGCGCCAGCTGTGATGCTGACCTTTGACCTCTGGTTAAAGCGCTAAGCAACAACGTAGAAAAGAAGGAAGGAAATGTGTTGTGAAGGAAATATCAAAGCCAAAATTAGAATTATTATGGAATATTTTGTATATATATCTGACAGCAAAGGAAGTATCTGTTGACTTTTGGTGTTTAGAAACGATTTTCTGCAGCGATGATCCATAAACTGTAACTTCTTGAGTTTGTTGGTGTGCTCTCAGAGAGTCTGCTGTAAAACTGAACATGTTAAGTTTATTACAACAAACAAACATCTGCAGCTGAGTAAAACTCACTGGGACTGACGTGTTTTGAACTCATGAACATCAATGATCAGGGTAAATGTTCCAACCTCAGCCACTAGATGGCCCACTGGTCCTTACTGGCTGCATCACCACCACCATTAACTTCTCCAGAAATGATGCTCAGGAAATAAAGAAAACACACTGAACGCATTTATTACTTTAAACCCAGACAAGAGTGGATTAAAGTTCATGAAGCATCTCAGGATGCATGAATCTGTTGATCACACATTCATCAAGTCATATTTTTTTCTGCTTGTCTGACATTGGGTCATGAAGAAAACTGGTCTAGGAGGGAACCCAGGATCCTGAGATGTTTCCAGGCCAGAGGGGATATAAATAAACCACCAGGTTTGCTCCAGGGTCTCCTTCTATTGGGATGTGCCCAGACGCCTCCAGAGGGAGGAATCCTAATTGGACACCTGAGCCACCGTAGCAGACTAATATTGATGAGCAGCAGCAGCTCTGCTTCAAGTTCCTCTCAGAAGATGGAGCTCCTCAGCTTTCCTCTGAGGCCGAGCCGGACGAGGGAAGATCACTTCAGGAGCTCTTTTGTTCTTCTGATTCTGAGTCTTCGTGACCAAATGGTTGGACTGTAAATTGATTAGTAAATTAATAAATTCTCCTTTTGGCTTGGCTCCTTCCTTACTATGACTGACCGGAGCAACACCATCATTACTGCAGAAAAGGCTCTGATCCATCCATCTCCTGCTCCATCCTGCCATCACTCATAAAAAAGCACCCGGAGAGCCACCTGTTGTTCAAACAGGTACATGCAAAGTTAGTGAAACACACATTTTTAAAGTTAAGATCAAGACGCACACAAAAAGGAAACTAACTGTAGAGACATGTTTTATTTATCACAGACTAGACGTTCATCACCAGGACATTTCAGCAAACCCTGAGGGGGCTGAACTTCTCTGATCTGTCTCTTCTTGAAGTATCTGTAAGTACAGTTTATAAATGGAGACAAGCAGCCGGACTTCTTCACTGCAGTTCTCCAAGTGACAGTGATGGCCTCATTTGAAGCCCTCGCCAAACACAGCAGCATCAACACGAGGCAAAGCCGACACTTACAACAGCCACTCTCCCTTCACTGCGGTGATGACTATGATTCTGGATGTCGAACCACGAGAAGTCACATCCCTGATCCATAATCACTGGTGTCGAGCGTCACTCATCCCACAGCAGAATTCTTCTAAACGCACAGACTGGTTGAACTGGAGTCACGTTTCCATTCCAGGTTACTCATCGTTTGAACGCCTCACTGACTCTTGATTCTGTAAAAACCAGTGCCGACCAGTGGACGGCACCGAGTATAGAGTGAGAAGATGAGGGTCACTGAAGGTTTCAGCTCAACTCGTATCTCTCAGGTTACACATTATTGTCCACTACTATAGTAACAGATATAAAAGCTTGCTGCCCACTAACTCAGCTCAGTGGGTTTTAGGATGAACCTGGCAACCCAGCAGCACGAGTTTCAGGGCGATCCTGTTAATTATCAACCTGGAAACTCTGCAGAGAGCAGCACAGGATGGTTAAATGTCCAACTTTGCTGTTTGTTCTCAATGCATGGTCATGGAAATGAGAATGTCGGGTTTAAGGTTTCATCTCTGCCTTTTGCAGATAATGCAAACTTGTTGACATCTTCAGGTCATGACCTTCAGCCGGTGTTAAGAGCGGTTTGCAGCTGACGTGGGGAACAGCTCCTCCAGGTCTGAGGCCATGTGAAGATGTGAAGAAGGTGGAATGAACCATCCAGTAGTCGTGTTTACAAATGATGGATGGAGCGAGAGGTGGACCAGTGGATGGGAGCCTCGCCTGCAGTAATGAGGGTGTTGCTCTGGTTTCTTGTGAAGGAGGATGAACTGAGCATGAAGATTAATCTCTTGGTTTATTGATCTATTTATGTTTCAACAGCTTTGGTCAGCAAGTATGGATCACAATCAAAAGAGCAAAATCATGGATGCAAGCAGCTGAAATGATCTTTGTCTGTAGGGCGACTAATCTTCTCCCGTCTTCGAGTGTGACTCTTTTGTTGTAAGGAGATAATGTAAGGACATTTTTATCCAGCAGGTTCACACACTAGACAAGCTGCAGGGAGAGTCCCATCCCTGAGGTCAGTGGCACATTCCTGATCCAGAACAGAACTGAAGAGAACGTAAGCACTCGGGGTGTCTGGTCAGAGCTGGAGACGTGAGCAGGCAGCGCTTGAGATCGGATGTTATGACAGGGAAGACCGTGATGTAAGAAATGTCTGTCAGAGATAACTGCAGGGAAACATTCAGGGTTTAGTTTTCATCTTCTTTAAATGCCACAGCGTGAAGAAAAATGGTGCCCAGAAGGCCATGGAGGTAGACCTTTATCTGAATTAAGACCGTATTGTCCTTAAACTGTTTTGATTCATTTTGTCCAAGCCAGTGAACATTTAGAGTGTAAATGGAATATTTTAGTGCTAGACTTATTAAGAAACATCTACAAATCTCCATGCCTGAAGCATCTTTAGCGTCCTACAGGGTGAAGGGGGTTGGTGAAGATGTAATGGTTCAGGTTTAGCATTTACCGTAATTGCTGCCGTATAAGTTGCATCAGTCCAAAAATGTCTAATAACGCGGAAAAAAAACACAAATTAGTCATTTCATCATATAAGTCGCATCTATTATGCATCACCGCTGACCACCCGGAAATGTGCCAAAAATCGATTGGCTGCCAATTGGTGGCCGCAGGACGGTGCACGGGAGGACTTTAACAAGAACTTAACAGGATTAACATTTAAAAAATATATATTTGTTTACTCAACACTACAGTAACGTTGTGTCTCAGTCGAACTTTTCCTTAATAAATGCACTTTGACGGTCAGATCAGCTGCGTTTCAATGGGGTGGCAGTGAAACGCAGCTGATCTGACGTTTGCTCCAGGAGTTACGGAGCGAGACGAAGGTGGCTCTGCACGGCAAGCCAAGTGTTTAATTAATAGTCACTTTTACCTATTAATAAGACACTTGGCTTGCCATATCAGTCGAGCGCCCTCTAACGGCTGAAATGATAGTGTTCAATATTTTCCATGTCAGAATGAATGAAATCGTCAGATCTCAGACAAACATTGGATTATAAATACGGGAAAAAAAACAAATATGTCACTTTGCTGTATAAGTCGCAGGGCGTGTAAATTTATGCAAAAAACTGTGACTTATATGGTGAAAAATACAGTAAACATCTTATTTCAGGAAAATACCTCCTTCACAACGCTAATCAGCAAACAGGACGTGTCAGCAACGGTTGTGATAAAAGTGGGAGAGTTCACAACTCATTGAAAAGCTGCATGCTGGATAAGTGTGTGATAGTTCTGTTGCTCTGCATTTCCCAAAACGTGTTCAGATGTTTCGAGACATCCTTTAAAAAGCTCGTGGTGGTTCTGCCGGGCGGTTTGAACCGTCATAATCTTATTTTATTCTGTTCTTTCTGTCGTTGGCTTTAACCGTGCTCTGCCGTGCATCATGAATAGATCTGTAACAGAAAATGTTCAGCCTTTTATAAATAAAGTGTTAAAATAATAAATTCATGCAGGTTGCTCAAATGCCTCTGTGAGCTGAACAAACCTATTGGTTTTGTTTTTTACATTTAAGTTACGCGCCTGTGTTTTATAAAAGTCAAACAGCTGTTCCTCCGACAGTGAGTCACAGAGTTTAATGTGTGCAACTTGTTTTAAACGGCTGACGTGAGCGCGGCCTCTGAGTGGAAACACTTTAAAAGACCTCTGGCTGCAAGGCAACGCACCTAAAGTAGGACACACATACAAATGGATCCAAACAGCACCGGGTCTTTGTGCAGTTTCCTGGCTCTCCACGGGCTGCTGCCACCCAAGGTAGACCCCCCACCCCCACCCACCCCCCCAGGCAGGAAGGAGGGAGTCTTTGTTGGACAAACTGCCTGTACAGCTCCGGACCTCACCCAGAACCTTTGTGCAGACGCAGAGAAATGCAGACTTTGTCAGAATGAAAGAGTTTCTGAGAACGGAAAGGAAACTGAGACAAGAGGCGAAGAAAGAGGAAGTTTACTCTGGAACGGAGAACTTTCACAATAAAACTGTGTCTGTACTCAACGAGAGCCGCAGCTTGTTGGAAAACAACGATTAAATTACATCTCAGGATGGACTAATGCACAGCTAGTCTGCTTTGCTTCTCCACGGGGGGTGGACCACACGTGACCCTCTGGGCTCAGGACTTGTTGCTCAGTCCAACAGCAAACAGAAAGTGAAGGACTCCACTTGCTTCATGTCCTACTGCTAATTAATTCAACAAGCTCATGGACTTCAGACCTCAGATAAACTCATGGACTGCACGTCTAATAAACCCGACGCTCCTCTCACACGTTCCTCTGCTCTGGCCCGTTCCACCCTTCAGTAAAAACTCAGAACTTTGCTTGCCAGACGATGCAGAAGAGAACCCATCAAGTCCTAAAGAAAAAATGTCAGGCATGTTTTCACAGAGCTCTGCTGCAGAGCTCCTTGACCCCAGATGCCGGAGTAATTAACGAGGCTTGAGACTGTTGCGTTAACCTCCCGCCCACCTCCGAGGTCAGGAGGTCAAAGTGTCGGGTCTGCAGCCGACGGTTGTGCAGAAAA